TACATTTTAGGAACGAAGTACAGAGTGCTCCAGGGAAAATGCTGTACCTGTTGGAATCCCTTACCTTGGCTGATAATGGGGGAGAAGAGATTGTGCAGGGGATTATTTTATTCTTTGTGGATTTTTGAGGGGTTTGGATTTGGTTGGGTCCTTCTTGTGTTTATTTATATTTCTTTTTCCCTTTGGTGGTATTCTCTTTTCTGTCACCCCTCTATAGCAGTCAGGGATGCTGGCTGGCAGGTTAGATGCTGCTAAGAGTGCTGTTGCTTCACTCACATACATGATACTGGCAACAAAAAGTTTCTTGAGGTTTTATTGCTTGGTGGAGACTGAAAACAGAATCTGGACAGGTAAACTTTAGTTTTGAAGGAACTCTTGTGGTTGTTGAACAGGAGGGGTGTTGGAATGGGAGCGGAGCTGTGGTCTCCTGATAATGCCTTCTGGAGGTCAAACCAAGCATTTGAGTTGTAACATTGGCAACTTCTCATCTCCATTCTTCAAAGATCAGGATAGTTTTATGCTAATGTCAGGTACTTAAATGTCTTTCTTTTCTCAAAATAATTATGAATGGGATAAGGGTAAGGCATAAAGCAAGCATTTAAATCCTGTGTTATTTCTTACCTCTGAGATCTGATGCAGCTCTGGATTTCTTGCAGTGCAAAATCTGCTTTTCCTGGCTGATTCTCTGTGGACTAATCCATTAACAACTAGTTGTCATGAATGGAGGAGAGCAACAGCATCCCTCTTGTGTACCATTTCTTTGCCTAGAGCAGAGTAATTGATCCTGCCCAGGGCAAGTGGTTTTGAAAGCTCTTTATTTATTTGTAATGCATTTTATTTTATTCTTGTTCATCTTCTGGGTTTGAAGCAGCTTTGGGGTTGAGGAGTTGATCTGTGGGTTTAGTTACTGTCATTTGTGACACCTTACATTGGAGGCTTTTCTTCTTTTCTTAAATCTAAATCAGTAATTAAAAAGCAAAGCTGAATTAAAGAACATTTCCCAATTCAGAATCTGCAGAGAAGTTTCTTAATACACAGCTAACTGGAAACAATGTTTGTAAACAGACAACCCCTGTAAATAAGGCATGTGAACCAGAGAACTTGGTTGATCAATTTATAAGAGCTTGGAAACAAACTGACCAACACAAGATGAGTTTGTCTTTTTGCCCAAGGAAACAGAGATAAAGTAATCAGTACACATCTGGGAAGGTAGATTAGGCTCTACAAGGGATGATTTCTGTAGTCTCTTGAGTTGCTGGCAACAAAATCACACTTGATTTTAATCTGATCAGTTGCCTTTTGTTATGCAATGACCGTCTGCATTATAACCTGTGTATGCAGTAACTAACATTTCCCAGGCATCTGTGCACAGGATATGTAATTTAAACTTATTTAATAAAACGTTATCACTTCATGATTAATTGGATCGGCACATGACATTCACAACTAATAACCCTCAGTCTGTATTACACTGTGCTTATTAGACTGCTAATGGATAACCGGTTTAATCATATGGCAATTAAAAGGATGAGTCGGTTTCATTTATTGCAATTAAATGGTATCCATAAAGCGTGTTTGCAGGAAGTATCTAAATCACATCGTGTATCAGTTGTGTGTGTGGGCTCTACCGACTCTGCATAATCTGGGGGTGAATCAGCTCACGTATGGGAGCTCTGAATCCACGTGTCCAGGTCCTGGATCGTACTGTGGTGCGTGGCACCATGCTGGATTGTGGGTGAAGCAGCACATAAAGGTCAAGAACCTTTAAAAATACTGGTTTTCAGAGCTCTTCTGATGAGGCCTTTGATACAACAATTCTTGAATTGCCTTTTTTGTCTGGAAAACTGGCTTTCTGGCAAACCTTTCGTTTGCTCTCAGGATGGTACGTGGTAACAAACCCCAAATCATCTTCCATTCCATCTTAGAGCTTTGCATGGGGGAAAGGAGCAGACATGGTGGGGAAGGGAAGCTGGGCGGGAGGATGGTCTGTGTTACAGAGAATGAGTTCCATACAGTTTCCCACATTTGATCAGTGCTGCTCGTGGTGAGTGAATGAGTGCTGGTGTAGTGAGACCGCCCTGCCCATGGGATGAGCTTTACAGTTCCCAGGGGATAAATAACGGGAAAGCTTTGTGGCAGGAGCTGTCCTGTGTTTGTTCAGTTTCCTTTGCAGCACTTGTGACAGAAGCATCTGGCCAGGCAGGCAGGTGTTGTGCAGCAGCTTTTATCCCAGATGAAAGTGTTATTTGGACTCCAATGGGTTGGTGGCAGTAGCTGTGGTGCTGTGAGCTCTGCCTCCATTCAGGGCTTGAGCACCTCTATACTGTGTGAGATTATAAAGTGCACAAATAAGAGAACGATGTGTCTGTTGAGCTCATAGCTCTTTTGTAGCTACACTGGTTTCCAGCTTCTGCTTTGGAATAAGGACAAACAGGACATTCAGTAATCTCTCAAGCTTTTTCTTCCCTCTGATCTGACCACCATAAATGTGGTGTTCTGGATGGATGTGAATAAGTTCAGACTCTTCTTCCCCTTACTGATGTCTGCTTTTTTGATATTTGTTTAAAAAGTGCATTGCCTGACCTTGCATTCCCTTCCAGATTACAGTTAAGCCAGTTTTCCCAGTGAATAATAAAAATATTGCAAAAGAAATAAAGCCTGGAAGTGCCTCTGCCCATTGGGAAAGAATTTGGCAGAACAGCATTTTTTTGGAACTTGTTTTGTAGACTCATAGAATCAGCTAGATTGGAAAAGACCTTCAAGATCATTGAGTCTGACCATTACCCAAGGACTTTCTTTGAAAGCCGCAATACTTGAAGCTTTTGTTGACAATTTTGAATGAACAGGAGAGCCCTGAATCACCTGCAGGAAGCTGTAAGGATGGTTGTTGAGTTGTTGGTGTGGGTAGGTGCAGTAATAGATAGGGTCGCTGGCAGGGGCTGTTTGAAATGCCATGGAAATAATTTCTTCTTTCTTCTCCCTTTCATTCCCTAGCGTTTTAGTGTATGGGAAGGCTCTTTTGAGATGGTTTTCATCACACTTGTCTTTGGTAGGCGGAGAAACAGTTCAGGATGAAAGAAGGTGGGAGGAACTGCTGGGTTACCAACTTTGCAGCATTAGGTATCTGTACAAAATGCCGGTAGCACACAAATGAGAATCCTGCTTAGCGTGATACAAAATCAGCTTTTCCTCAATGCAAGGAGAATGAGTCCTTCCTTAGAAGCAGCATCTGAGTGCCTTTTTTCACTCATCTGTTACACCGATCTCCTAAGTGGGGTGCGCAGCAGTATTGGTGGGCAACAAAAAACATGAGCTCTTCAGTAATACATGGATATAACTCATAAATAAATCAATATACATGTATTGGGGGTGCATGCTCCAACATTATTTTTCTGGTGTGGGTGCGTGATTAACTGTAACTATCATGGTGATGGAAATAAAGCATCTCCTTGGTTTGGAAATGTGCAAGCCAGGAAACGCTGCTGGGTTTAGATGTGAGAATGCTTTGCCCTCAATTGAAAGGGCGGTGTTTTTTGCAAGTATCACAGTCAATGACTTGTCTTGAGCAGCTAATTAGTACGATTATTCCACAGCTGCATTAGTTTCACCACAAAGGTTTTCTCTTGTTTTATCAAAAGGATCAGTGTCTCTGTGAATGTTTCAACCTGACAGGTCTTAAATAGCAAGATGGTCCCCTGCCTCCCTGCCCCCAGAATGTGTGCTCTGGAAAAGCAGAGTTTGATCTCTTGGGGGAGTAAGTGTGGGTTCTCCCTTTTCATTTCTACTCTGAACTGTTTTCAGCATCAGCCCTAAACAAAGCTGGAAAGCTTCCAGTGGCACTGGCTTTGGCTGCCTAAGCACAAGTTGGTGCCTGCAGGCACCTGCAAGGCCTGGGAGGGATGCTGGCTCCTGGGGCTCCATTGCAAGCTGTCCTATCAACATCCTGCAGGTAGCACCTGAACACTGGAGCCATAGGTGGGGTTAGTGCTGCCTTCCCCAGGCATGGCCTTCCATCGTTACAGCCTAATGAGCCTGTTCCTTCCATGGGCTGGTGGCAGTCCACTGCTGCAATCAGAATCAGAACCCAAATACGCTGAATTATATGCACTATAGCTCTGTCTTACATGGAGTCACGTGTTCTTGACGAATTCCAACATCCTTCCCACAAAGGATGTGCAGCTCGGTATTTGCATACTCTGGTTGATTTAAGCTACAGAAATGCATCATAAATAGACTTTAGTTCTGAGGGCTAACAAAATGATGTGTTGCTTCAGATGAAGTCCCATGGTTTGTCCCTTGCTCTTTGGTATGAAGCTCTGCTTGCCGGTGGCTTACAAATGCCTCTTAGGTGGTCAAGCCGAGCAGCTTGGGCCAGCCGGCTTTCTAAAATGTGACTGAAATAAAGCCATTATTGTTGTTTATTTTGCCTGTTGTACCTTGCTGTGCTTAGAAGGTGCTGGTAGGCCTGAAGTGGGAGTTGGGGATTGTTAGTGGGTGTCTGGTTTCTGGCTGTGAAGAGTGTTCCCACCAGAAATCCAACCCTGAGGTAGCGTTGTGCAGAAAACAACTGAACTTGGTTATGTTGTGTTTTATCTGTTTGTTTTTGAGCGAGATCATTAGACCTGCATTATTATCTATAACTATCATTAGACTTGCTACAGCCTTTTATTCCTTCGTAAGAAAAGAAATATGAGTGTTTGCTGCTATCTGTATAAACATTACTTTTTCTTGTGGGTGGTTGCTGTAAAAATTGAAACAACAAATAGCTCTTTACCGCTGGATATTGGTGTTTGGAAATGGATAGCTGCAGTCAAGTTAAGGCAGCCTAATGTGGCTGCTTAGTACCTGAAGTAGGTCGGCTCCGCGTTCCCCCTCGCCTGGTGCAGCATATCCTCACCCATACCGCCCCACGCTCCGGTGTAAATTCTGCAAGCTGTGAGTGCTGGAGCCGCGATCCCGCTTGTGGAAGCTGAGCTATCTTTCTTTTGGTCTTCCCACAGCAATTCCGAGCATCCTGGCGCTTCCAAGCCTCCCTTAAGCTCCTCCAGCATGACCTCACGAATCCTGCTACGACAGCAGCTCATGCGTGAGCAGATGCAGGAGCAGGAGCGTCGGGAGCAGCAGCAGAAGCAGCAAGCAGCCCAGTTCATGCAGCAGCGCGTACCCGTCAGCCAGACACCTGCCATCAACGTCAGTGTCCCCACCAGCCTGCCCCCCGCCACCCAGGTACCCATGGAGGTCCTCAAGGTACGCCAGTCTTTGCCTTTCTGTTCAGGAGCTCTCGCTCAACCTACTTTATGCAATAGGGACATGGTTATAGGGAGTTTTGGCGATTAAGTTTCCAGATAAGCTGTGCTCTGGCTTCGTTTGCAACTTAGGTTGGTGTCCTGAGAGCAAAGAATGGGAAAACTTGTGAAAAAGCTTGTGTAACTTGGTTTTCTTTAAACTGTGAGATCCCAGGAGGGAGGTGTTGTTACAAAACCAAGGTTTCTGTCATTTTCCCTTTGGAAAACTCTTCTCCATCTTTCTAGTACTTAAATAATTTTCAAAAAGAAGGAACTATTAATAGATGTTCAAATCAATATTTTGGTTTTTAAAGCAAAACATTGAAATATTTTTGTAAAATGGAGTCAAAACTATACAAAAGAGCCTTGCAAAAAGCCTTAATCTGAAATACGGGTGAGTTTCCAGCCCCTTGCAATGAGCCTTTGTAATCCTTTTTTGCTTAAACGACTTGTTTGCTATTAGTAGCTTTGGATTCCTTGTCCAACTGGAAACTGTAGGAGCTTGTTAGTATCCCTCTGTCAAAAGGGATGTAGCTTGCTAATTACTTGGGAAAAACCGAACAGCTATAAGAAAGCAGATCACTTAATGCACTGGTTAAGTCTGAGTAGAGTAAATGTGTTAGCAAAAGAATGCAAAACGTTTTGGAGAAATTTTCTAACATATTTAATGAAAATAAATAATTCTTAGCTCTAAAGAGTTACCTCCTTGCTCTGCATTACTGTTGAATCTTTTTATTGCATTCTGATGTTTAGTGACCACTTCTACTCAGTAAACATATTCTTACTGGGTAAGTTAATTGAGCTTGGTTACAACCCACTTGTAGTTAGCTCATGGCTGTTACATATTAGTGATATGGATTCAAAGAGCTGTTGCAGACACAAGATTTCGAGGCAGTCTGTGAGCTGGGTGTATGGAGAACATGTAGGGAGCCTTTATTTATTGAATCCGCATTATGGTATTAACAGTGGCAAAACTAATAACTTAGTTGAGATGCAGGAGTCATGCTCAAGTGTGGTCTATGATCACGGAGCAAAAAGGCAACAATTGAATTTTGAATTCTCTCCCTCTATATACATCTCCATTAAAAATTAAAGGAGTGTGTGTGATGTGCAAGTAGTAAGGAGTCTGAAATTGTCTGGGAAGAGCTATTTTGTGTAATGGTTATGCATACACACAGTGTTTGTGTAGCTTGTTTCCAGGTTGTGCCACTGTAGTTATACTACTTCAAATCCAGCAGATGTGTAGGTGCTGTGGAATAGTTTTAATTTGTAATGCACTGAGTTAAATAACCGTACGTTACATTTTTTACGGCCTTTCATCCTAATACCTTATGATGTCAATTTTAAGTTTGTTTTTTATTTTTTTTTAAGCCCCTCTGAACACTTGTAGGAAAGTATTTTCTGTGATATTTTGCTATTAAGGAAGAAATGTAATGTTTTGAAGAAGCATTAGCAGTTGTCTGTTGCCTCTTTATATGAGGGAGGAGGAGAGGCATCCTTTATTTCTGAGGGATGAAATAAAGGTGATGCTTGGTTATTATGATGCTTGGTTATTAGAAATGGGGTTACTAGGAGCTTGCTTGTCGTAAAATTTGTATGCAAATCTCTGACCTGCTAGAGCAATGGAACTTCATGAGAAGGACTTGAACCTGAATGCTCTTTAGGACTGCAAAAGAAGTATCTGTCCCCTGTTTCCTCCTGATGGAGAAAGGTCTCCTGGCAAGAGGGAGGATACCTCCCCTGCATTTGACTTTGGTCCAGATGACCCTGTAGAGCAAAAATGTAAGAGAATGACATGTAAATTAAAAGTAATAACTGGCAAATACTACCTTTTGTTGGCAGAGAGTTTTGCATTGAAGGTGATGGTTGTGGAAATACGAGCTTCCTACTGGAACAGAATAATGCCTGTCTTCCTGTCGTCTGCGTTTACATAAGTAACAGTCAAAATCAGCTCGAACAAGTTCTCTTCTCTTGGTCTCTGCTCATGGAAGAGAGACTGCTTTGCATAGGTTTGCTGCTTGTGGTTTTGGTGGGACAAAGCAGGTGAAGATTCATCCTTTCATTGATAAAAGTGGACCAGTTCTGTACAAAAAATAGGTAGTACAAAACACCAGGGATGAAGTCATGATCTTACTGTAAATTGACCAGCAAGAGTAGGATTTGGCTAAGGGGTCCGTGTAATTTTGTCTGGTGGGTTTTGTTTGGTTGGTTGGTTTTGTTTTGCTTTGTTTTTCTTTGGTTTTGTTCATTCTAAATAGGTTATTTGGCTCAAAAGATGAGATTAACAATAAATCAGGATCCTCCTGGTGCCGATGTGCTGACAGCCGGCTCTGCCTGCAGTAACAAAGTATGAGTGACATCATTTCCCTGCAGCTGCTTTTCACACTTCAGTTGTTTTTTAGCTGTAGACAAATTTTCCGTATGAGCTGTAGAGAAGTTTTAATTAGATAAATAGGGAACTAAGTTGGTAACTTTATTATCCAGATGGTCTGGATTTAGTGACCTTAAAGAATGAGAGACACAAAAAGGGCATTTTTACACTTTGAGAAATGTTAATCTGCAAGGCAACTTTCTTTTGAAGAGGTCTGTTTGAATCGTACTTCACAAACACCTAAGACCAAATGTAATAGCTGTTTTTGTTGTTGTTTTTGCTTGCTTGGCATTTAGCATCAAAAAAAGCCCATACCAAGGCTCTTGAATTTGTCACCATTTAGTGTTTTTTAATTACACTGTGTGTCTTGCCTTTCTCCCCTGCCTCTGCTGAATGTGAGGAGAATAATACTTGCATGGATGAAGCTGGTAGTTTGGAATAAGTAGTTTAAAAAGGAGCCAAAGGTGTTAATGAGCTTGGATTTTTTTATTTGTTTTGCAAATATTCATTAAGAAATAATGCAGAAAGAAAGAGAAATACATACGAATCTCTGTCACATTGCATAGGAATCTCCGAATTGCGTAACGTGATACGTTTAAAGACATATGCATAAATAGGGTTTAATTTTCTTGAGTAATGATTTGTTGCATCAGTCATCTGCCATGTAATGTCACTTGGCAAGGTAGGAAATAACCTGTTGGAATTCAAATTTTGTGTTGCTTTGTGCACCCTAATTAGAAGGTGGACTAGGTCTAAGACATTTGGAACAGTATCTCTTTGACTCTGATAGCCAAAGGAAGATTTGTTACTGCTTTCAGTTATCCTTCTGCAGAGTTGAAGTTAGCTTCACAGACGTACAGGCTGGTTTATGTCTAAGCACCTTCTCATCCATCTCCTGTTGGTAGTTGAGGACCACCACTACAGAGATGTAGCAAGAGTTTCTTTGCTTCTGCTTCAATTCAGCTTCCTCCGCTGCCTTAGAAATAGGAGCATGTAACTTAAAATATTGGTTGTTGGAGGAGTTCTGAGCTCTAGCAATGTTGGATCAGTGTCTGTTCCTGAGGTACAAAGTAAGTTCATATTTTTGTAAGGGTTAAATTATTTTCAAAGAATTCAGCTTAAGATGTCTTCAGTTGTTTTATGGAGGTGCTTCTTCCATGCAGGTATTTTAGCTTTGTATACTTAACTGGTGTTAAGAAGCTGTTCTTTTTGTTGTTGTTGCTTGCAGTTATTCTCTTGTCTGGTATGAGTCCTTACCTATGGGAGCAGAAGCACCACTGCAGATCTCAACTTCAGTATCCCAGAGCTGATGTCTGGGAACTGATTGCTGCATTTCTGTAAGCAGGGTTAGCCCAGGACTGGGTGGAGGTCATGCATCAGGTTCCTGTCTGTAGTCACTGAGATCTGCTGATGGGTTAGCCCTTTTGCTCTTCAGTCATCCATTTGCAAAACAACGCTGCTAGTAATCCCACACCTTGTGGAGTTAAATTTGTTAAAGGTGGTGAAATCCTTGGCTATTAGAAATCAAAGGAATATGCTCTTGGTTTGTGGTGAAGCTGGTCTGTTAATCTGCTTCCCCATAGTTATTTTGGACCTCCTGTGTTACTGTCTTCCTGCTTGGTATCGTGGTATTAACTGGTCTCCTGTAGTCCTAGCAGCTGTCTGTTGACAGTTATTTAGAGAGCATCTCCCGTTGATGTGATAGAGTTTCTTGGTTCTGCTTTTCGTGCCTTTTGTGCCCTCTCGCCTGCTCCCAGCCTCCTTTCCTATCACGCAACTTACAGGATTCTTGTAAAGTGAATGCTCTCCCGCCTGCCAAGTTACTGGTGGCAGCAGGACAACTCCCTGCCTTTCTATAGCCTGGTCTATAGGGTAGTTCTCAGTCTTCTGTGTCAGTCCAGGCAGCTGATTATAGGACTTTTTTGATCAGCAGGCAGAAATGCTGATTTGCTTCAGAAATTCAGAGAGGGCTGAAGGAAGAAAAACTCACCTGTTGGCTACTTGAGAGACATGACAAAAACTGAGTAGTAGCTATGCTGTGTGGCTTATGTTGCTTTGCCTAATTTCTGGGTAAATGTTACAGTTCAGAACAAGCATAACACAAACCTCGAAGTACTTTGGACCTGCCTGCCCAAAACAGTGTGGCACTGCAGAAATTGAGACTGGTGTGAGCAGGCCTGTAACCTCCTTAGGAGGAGAAGCACTGGAGCATCTCAGGAGTCAGGAAAGGAGGCCCAGAATCCCACATCAGCCCACAGAACTGCAAATCACTTCCTTTGGGAACATTACCAGTTCTTTCAGGATTGAAAACGTTACCAGTGGGCAGCTGACATCCATCCCTCTGCATGTCTCACTAAGCAGTTGGAAGGTGGAAAATTGAGGTGAACACTTTCTCCTCTGTCTCCCCATGTTATTCTTCAGTTGATGCATGGATGTGACACTTGTGCTGCCATGGTTTTAGTGTGCTACACCAGGTCACAGTACAAGAGCTAATGGAAACCTAGACTGGATGTATTGTGGTGAAATGGTATGGTGCCTGTCTGCCCCAGTCTGTCCCTGCTGTTGCACACTAATGCTTCTGAGGATGCAGT